TTTCCCAGTCTTCCCTCGCCCGGGGAACCCTTTTTCTGCTTCTCTGTAGCTCTCAGCCACGGAGCACACCGCTGCCGCCGCTGACTCTGGCCGACTGAACGCTGAACTCGGCAATTACTATAGGTGTCAGCGGGCAGCGCTGCGCCAGTATGGCCTGGGCCAGCAGCGAGTGCACATGCATCGCTGAGACTGGGCCAGACGAAGGCTGGGTGAGAAACACGGGCCCCCACAGAGGAAGGTCTGACCCTGCAACGAGGGCCTGGCATTTGGGTGAGCGCTGTGGGCAGGACACACGGCAGCCAGCTGTGCTGGGCCTGGGCACTGACCTTGCTGCCTGCCAGCTCCCTCATGCCCTCTCCTACCTGCCCCCATCTCTCTGTGGCTCCCCCCCCCGCAAAACCTGCTCTGACCTCCCAGCCCCACTGAACCCCTTTTCCCTCTTTTGCAGGACATGGCTCTGGTGTTAGTGTTGGCTTTCAGTGCGCTGGGTATTTTCCAGGTGCTACGGGACGTCAGAGAAGAGCTGGATGCGGATATATGCCAGCACATGCAGGAGCGTGTGGAGTGGCTGAGGCAGGAGATTGCTCAGCTGTTTGAAGAGATGGAGCAGAACCCCCAAGAGCCGAGCAGGCTGGACAGGGGAGCCCTGCACTTCATGATCTTGCAGGAGTGGCAGTTCTGGGTGTGTGCTGGAGGCCTGCTGCTGCTCTGCTGGCGGCTATTGTGGTGGCTCTGGAAAAGGAGTTGTGAGCCAGGAAGCAGCAGCAAGCATGGCCGCTCGAGAGGCCTTGAGGAGGAGGAAGAGGGAGAAGACCCATTATATATGGACAGGTTTCTGGATGAGTGCATGTGGCCGCTGCCAAACAGCCAAAGAACATGCGCGATGGTGGAAGAGCTGGTGAATGACCTCCTCTGTGCCTGCCGAATGCTGTTGGGGTGGGCGGCTTCATAGAAAGCTGGGACTGTGGCGATGACCTTGTCTACCGCCTGTTTGTGCCCCTGAAGCCACCTGCCGGGCACATCTTCCACACTGAGCTGGGCACCGAAGGGGAGACGCTGCTGAGGAACTGCCATCTGCATGTGGAGCTGGAGTGCATGTGCATAAGGGAGCAGTGGCAGGGAGATGTGCTCTGCTTCCTCCACCACCCTGAGGACGAGCTGATGAGCAGACAGGAAGCCAGCCTCCTACAAACCTTCTGCACCGGCTCATACCTCAACGTGCAGAAGACCGCCTTCTGGCTCCAGGAGCTGATGAGCATAGCCTCGGTTGCTCTGCCTCAGATGGCCACGTACAACTTCATGGTGCTACCCTCCCCATGCTTCTGGAAGCTCAAGCTTACTGACATCTTGGGGAAATCCCTCCGCATTGAGCTGATCTTGGCGGTGGAGGAAGGCAACTCGGAGACATTTGTGACCATGGAATAGGCAGAGGTCAGTGTCGCCAGCAGCGCGAGGTGGCCGGGGAGAGAGCAAGGCAAAGAGAGAGCATAAGGTGTCCAAGGAGGCTTGTGAAAGAGACTGTGTTACCCCTGGATAGTGACTGCCCACCCTCTTCATGAGACTCCATTCCCTCTGGGATCTGTAGTAGTAGTGATGTACCAATAAATGTTTCTCTACCAACGAGTTTCTGTGCAACACTTTTTGGGGGCGTGTGGGCTTTAAGTGCTGACTGCTCGGTTTCTCCGCGTTTAAATCTCCCGCGGTTGCTGACGGCAACGCCCAAGCCACGTCAGCCTCTCTCGCGAGAGCTTCTGGGTCCGGGCGGGCCTCGCAGCTCCTTCTCGGGTTTCCCTGGCTCTGGGAACGCCCTGGCCTGCTTTTTCTCGGTTTTCTCAGGCTTCCCTTGACCGGGGAACCCCCTTTTTCTTCCCTGTAGCTCTCAGCCACCGAGCACACCGCTGCCGCCGCTGACTCTGGCCAACTGAACGGCTAATGCAAGCCTGGTTTTATCCCTTTCCCCCTTCAAACCTAGTTTAAAGCTCTTTCAATAAGCCCTGCTGAATCCTGAGCAAAGACCCTTTTCTCTCTTTGAGAAAGGTTTACCCCATCTGTCACCAGCAGGCCTGACATCATGTAGACTAATCTGGGGTCACAAACCCCAAAATTCTGCCAGTTACGCCCTCATGGAGGGAGGTATTGATCAGCTGGGTCTTCCTGGTTTTTCCAGCTTTATTCCCTGCAACTGGAAGGGTAGAGGGAAAAGCTACTTGCACTCCCGGTCCCTTAACCCACTTTGCCAAGGTCCTGAAGTCTCTTTTGATCGCCTTTGGACTCCTTCTTGCACCTTTGTCACTGCCTACATGAAAAAGCAACGGTGGACAGTAATCTGAGGGCCATGCCAGGGCAGAAAGTTTTCTCGTCACATCTTTACCCATTCCCCAGGGACGTAGCAGACTTCCCGGGGGAAGATGGTTTGGGGAGCATGTTGGGCCTTCTGTTCCCCTTGTCCTGTCACTACAGGCCCTTGTAAAAAGACCACCTGCCAGATCCCTTGTCAGCCCCTTCAGGCACTGGAAGGTGCTATAAGGTCTCCCCAGAGCCTTCTCTTCTCCAGGCTGAACAAGCCCAACTCTCTCAGCCTGTCCCCATAGCAGAGGTGCTCCAGCCCTCGGATCATATTCGTGGCCCCCTCTGGATTCTCTCCAACCGGTCAATATCCTTCTCATGTTGAGAGCTCCACAGCTGGACGCAGCACTCCAGGTGGAGTCTCACAAGAGCAGAGCAGAGGGGGAGAATCCCCTCCCTCCACCTGCTGGCCACACTTCTGACACAGCCCAGGATACGATGAACCATCTCCCTGTTGTACGAGGGGCCTAGGGTTTTCTGGGGGGAAAGGCTTGGTCGCGGTTGCTCCTGGCCCCGGCCAGGACTCGTCAGCCACTGTTGCACAAGCTGGTGGCTCCTGGGGAGTCCCTCTGCTCCCCTGAGGTTTCCCCAGCACAGGAAAGCCCCCCATACACCACCATCCCCCGCTCTGCCGCGGGTCCCGCCGGCACTGCCTCCGGTGGGAGGAACCTTGTCCGCATGCCCTCCCCTCCAAGCAGATTTTGCAGTGTGGTTCCTCAAGAGAGGCCGATGGAGTAAGAACCCAATGCTGGCTTAGGGGAACTTGACAAAATGGGTAATGAAACAGATTATATGACACGATCACATTCCAGAAGATCAAACACCATAAACCAGGAGAGTCGAGCCAGGGTTTGGTCCCCTGCACGATTTCCCAACGTGAGCCAGAGGTCACCGCCTCCAGACTTAGATGCTGTAGAAATGCATAATTCACATCGTGCCCCCCCTGAGGGGATGGCAGGCAAGACAGTGCCACTGTTAAACTCAGTTTCTCCTGGGAGATATTTCAGACCAGCCTGCTCTTGCTCCTCAGCTGCTCTTCCTGGTGCATCCTGTATCTCTTTGCTGTGGGCCACAAAGCCCCCCTTGCTGTCTGTCTCTGCCCAGGTTTCCTTTTTGCAACCCTTTATCAGGTACATGTTATCCCCTGGACTAGTGCAAATCATTCAACACCATCCCACACAATATCCTTCTCTCTAAACTGGAGAGACATGGATTTGATGGATGGACCGCCCGGTGGATAAAGAACTGGCTGGATGGTCGCACTCAGAGAGTGGTGGTCAGTGGCTCAATGTCTGAGTGGAGACCAATAACGAGTGGTGTTCGTCAGGGGTCGGTGTTGGGACTGGTACTGTTTAACATCTTCGTCAGTGACAGATGGTGGCATCGAGTGCACCCTCAGCAAGTTTGCTGACGACACCGAGCTGTGTGGTGTGGCCGACATGCTGGAGGGAAGGGATGCCATCCAGAGGGACCTGGACAGACTGGAGAGGTGGGCCACTGCCAACCTCATGGAGTTCAACAAGGCCAAGTGCAAGGTCCTGTACCTGGGTTGGGGCAATCTCAAGCACAAGTACAGGCTGGGTGGAGAGTGGATAGAGGGCATCTCCGAGGAGAAGGACTTGGGGGTACTGGTGGATGAAAAGCTGAACATGAGCAGGCAGTGTGCGCTGGCAGCCCAGAAAGCCAACTGCATCCCTAACCATAAGTGGAAAAGCATGGCCAGCAGGTCAAGGGAGGGGATTCTTCCCCTCTGCTCTACTCTCTTGAGATACCACCTGCTGTTCTGTGTCCAGCTTTGGAGCCCTCAACATAAGAAGGATATCGATCAGTCGGAGCAAGTCCAGAGGAGGCCACGAAGATGCTCAGAGGGCTGGAGCACTTCTCCTGTGACGAAAGGCTGAAAGAATTGGACTTGTTCAGCCTGGAGAAGAGAAGGCTCTGGGGATTCTGAAGACCTGAGGGAGTCCCTGAAGGCACCCACAAGAAAGCTGGGTGGAACTTTTTACAAAGGCCTGTAGTGACAGGACAAGGGGTAATGTGTTTAATTGAAAGTGGGTAGATTTAGATTGGATATCAGGAAAAAGTTCTTCAATGAGAGGGTGGGGAGGCACTGGAACAGGGGGAGAGGAGGGCCATCCCTGGAAGTGTTCAAGGCCAGGCTGGATGAGGCTTTGAGCAACCTGGTCTAGTGGAAGGTGTCCCTGCCCATGGCAGGGGAGTTGGAAATGGATGATCTTTAAGGTCCCTTCCAATCCAAACCATTCTATGATTCTATCACCATGTTGGAAGGGCCAGCATGTCTGGGTGGCACAGGTTTCACACAGGCAGATAACTGACCATTGAAACTAAGCCCTGACCAACATCAAAAGTATTTTTTGCTTCAGGAGGGGAATGAATTTGAGCATTTATTGCATTTATTATGCTAATCAACTCTCCATTCCAGACACAATACTTTAAATGTGATTTTCCCATGCTTCTGGCTGGAAAGCAACCTGAAGACATTTAAATATTTTGGTAGGAACCTGTAGAAATTTCATTCAAACCATGCTACTGCCAAGCAATGCCAAGGAAGGATTCTACCTTGTAATAAGTGAGGGAAATCAGGCTTCCTTATTTCTACAAGCTTAAAAAGGTCTATAGATGTGTGTGTAGAAGAAACAAATATGTATATCCCCAGCTAAGCAAGACAAAGCTACCCTGAAGTGATGGCAGAAAAGTTCAATGAGATAATCACATTAGCATTACTGAGCTAGCCATGCATGTGAAGCACAATACAGCTCCTGTTTTCTATTTGTCTCCATTATGAATTTAAAATATTCATATTTTATTGTCCTGCATTGACAGCAAACTGTTAGAACAGAAGAATGGCTGGCTTTCTGTCTGGGGTTTTGTGTCTTATTTAGTGCAAGCTTGCCTGACAAGCAGAATTAATCAGGTTCTCCACTTTGTCCAAGGTTGTTCACACCAGCAGTCCTTAAATAGAGCTGGGGATGGGAGTGTGATGTCCTTTCCATTGGCTTGAAGATATATATTCTAGCTGCTCAAAAAATCCTGACAGAGTTGAGCATCTAATTCTTGTGCAATTTCAGTAAGATTTGAAGATTTAACCTATTTAATGCCTCTCTGAAAAGGCTAGATTTAAGCCATGATGAGCATCTGGCTGAAGCCTGCTCTGGTCTGACAGCAACCTACCAAGACAGAGATGGAGTTCCCACACAGTGCTACTGGAAATCCTGCAGCTGGGAATATTAGCTTGGGACAAAACATCAGAGGTATCTGAAAAACTATTCCCTGTATGTTTGTAAAGGACAGCCATCCAAAGACTAGAATGCAATATGTTCTTTGTGCAACATCCCCAGTCTGAAGGCCTGATGGAAAATGCAGGGGAACTTCTGCACTGCCTCCCTGGGTTTTGACCTGGGAAGCAGGAGTCCCCCCACCATTGCTTTCGCAAGCAGTAGCTGCTGTGGTTCCCTGTCAGCGCCAAGGGGGAGAAGCTGGGAGTCCTTTCTGTGGAAAGAGCTTCCCTGACATCATGCATGTCGGTCCCTGAGCACAGGTGGCCACAGGGAATTACAGAAAACAGCTTTTCCTCAAGAGCTCAGTATGGCAAAGGGCCCAGAGCAACACGCCGTGCTGCCTGTCACCTGCCAAAAGGAAGCTTTAATGAAAACAAGTGACTGTCAATAAAGCCTGTGCTTTCACTTGGAAATAATGAAAACAAGCACAAAGCAGCCGAGGAGCCCTTCTCAGGCTGTATGTCACTGCTCCCTGTGGTCACACTGTCACCAGTCTCCCCTAGAACGGGGTCCCTTTGACCATAACAATTGGCTGCAAGGTGTCATTGGCCCCACAGAGAACTGAGTGCTAAGGGACCCCACTAAAATAAATGACTCTTAAAAAAACCCAACCAACCAAAAAAACCCGGATAGGGAATTATTTTGCAATTGTTTTTCAGTTGCTAAAACTGCTGTTGGAAACTGCCTTTTCTCCAGGTCCTTGCAGAGCCCATGTTCACTGCAAGTGAGGAGGAAACTCCCTGCACTGGTGGTCTTCATGGAGTGCCAGGCGGTCTCCAT